AATAGGACTGCGCAAGACCTTCTGCTGCGGGCAGCCGACCGTCCGTACGAAAGGGAATCGAATGAAGAGGGGAGGGGAGGAGGGGGGAAGCTGATGGAAAGCTGTTCCTCCCCCCCTCCCCCTCTCCTCTGGAACACATTAAGTACATCAGATAACACAAAAATTGCTAAAAAATTGGTCGGTCGACAGACAAGATCCATCGACCGATATAATATTAAAATTGTCAAAAACTATCACAGATATTTTCTCAACGTTCCCTAATGGAACATTACGAATCATCGCTTCATCCTTTTTTTTTTTCTTTTTTTCGCGATTCTTTGCGACAGTGTGAGTAGATGCTGACAGTTACCAAATTATCTTTAGGAAGATGTTTTCTTAATAGATTTGTCGAAAATAACCTTGGCTATTTGTCAAAAATAACCTTGATCTCTGTAGCATCAAGAACTTGAAAAAGCTATTGTGAAAAGACCCTGGTATTGGCCATATTAGTGCTGTTTGTTATCAAGAAAGCTATTTTTTTTTCTTAGGTGGGAACGCGGATGATGACTTCACAGCATTAGCCGATGCTACAGAACGATTCTTTGAACAGGAGCTGAAACCTCCAGCCCAGCGAATTCCACCAGCAACTCGACCACCACCTGTAACGATCGTTCGTCCAATCCAGTCGCAGCAGAAAAGAAATCCGCGCAGAAAGCAAGAAACTATGGCCAGAAATAATGGTAAGCCAATTGTAGCACCTTGGATGTCGAAGGCGCATTGAATACAGAAAGCAGGAAGAGAATGAGGAAAGGAGGCAAGAATGAGATAAGACAAAATTTCGGTCCATTAAGTCATATACGTCTTAACTCAACACTGCGATAGGACCTTGTCAGTATGACGGTGTTAATAGTAAGTTTGTCTAAAATTATTAAAACAGTGAGGACTGAGTGAAAGTGAGGAAATGAATGATCCCAAATTGCATAACTACCCATAGGGTAACTAACTTCGGCCACAGAATTTGAGTAGTTATCAAAAATGAGCCGAATTGCAGAAACACGACGATCGGATCAACAAGATGCGCTCTCGTTCGGACCGGTTGGTTTCCGTATGAACAGTTCTAAGCCGAATGGTAACAGACCGAGCGCATTCATCGAACAACTACAGAGGGAGCGGAAAATGGCCGAAGATCAGTATCTAAGGAAGAAAATGATGAAAGGTTTGTACTTCTTTGATGCTGGATGCATTTTTCTATTCTATGGCCACCAGATTTCACTACATCTAAAAGATAAAGGCAATTTGCACCATAAAATAACACCTTACACATGGCCTGCGTACAGTCCTGTTGGTCTATTATTTCACAGAATTAGGGCCAGTTTCTTTTTTTAAACTCCAAACTTTGAAAAATATCATTTCCAATCAAAAATAATGCAAAAATAAGTGAGGATGGTTTTTCAGACACGATAGTTTTTTAAAAAA